ATTTTACATACCTGATATAATTGTATCTAAACTTTCAGCTTGTGTTAAAGATTTTTCTAACATAAGACTTAAATTTTGTAATACTTGACCTGATAAATAAGTATGTACTGAAGTAATTGCATGTAACAAACAAAATCGCAAACTTTCAATGCGCCTTATATGAAACTGTTCCAATTTATTTCTCTTACACATTGATTTTGTACCTTCTAAATCTATAAAGAACATAATTATTTATAATGATTTATTAAAAATAAAAAATACAAATTTTTCATATTTTTTTTACCACTAAATCTTAAATTATTTAGCGTCCATAAAGCCCATTTTAATTTCAATTGAAATCTAAATATTTCGTTATATTTTATGAAAGTTTCTTCATTTAATACAATATTAATCGGCCAGCCTATTGCATAATGTAATGTTATATTATCAACAGCTATTAATACTTGATTTGTATGAATGTTAGAAACTGTAATAGACCAACGTGAACTTAAATCTGGCCACCATTGAGAAAGAATTTCTTCCAGTATGCATGATAAAAAATATGAATTATTCCACATTTGATTATTTTCAATCTAAGTAAAATTTAAATGAAGATTTAATTATTAAAAAAATAATGCATTGAATATTAAATATTTTAATATACCTCATGAAACAATCTTTGATAAAATTTGTTCATAATATGGCCTGCTTCCATCATATAAACAGATCTCATTAACATTAAATGTAATTCTAATTTATATTCTTCAGACATAATATTTTTGACTAATTTGCTAGCACCATTATATCGCGAAATTAATATATCTGCTAAAATATTTTCTAATATTTTTCTGAATGGTAATATATAATTTGATACTTTTTCAAGTCTAAAATATAATATTTTATACTTAACAAAATAATTTTTATAAGAAAATTTATTTGAAGTATATATATAATAAGAACTTTAAAGATAAACCTTTTGAAGATATTAGTTTCTATTTTGATATTTTGAATTTTAAGAATATTAATATCATCAGAATTATTTCTTTTTAATAATTCAGGAGGAAGATAATCTTCAAAAGCTTTTAATAAAAATGGATTATTAAACTCAGTTAATTGTTTTGTAATATTTCTTTCAACATCTTCATCATATTCATTTTTTGTAACTTCTTCTTGTTGAGATGAAGATATTTCTTCCTTTTCTTGTTCATTTGTATTATATTTAGAAATTTCTGTTTCTAATTTAATATAAAATTCATCAACCAATGATCTCTTTAATTCTGAAAAAATTATATAATAAAATATTTATATATAAAAGTATACAAATATAAAGTTATTATATACCATTTTCTCTTATGTTAATTTTCCATATATCTGTAATTCGATCCAAAGATACTAATAATTCAATACTTTGTCCTATATGTTGTATTTTTTTTATTAAAAATTGCATAATTGGATCCATTAAACATATATTATCCAAAGATCTCAAAGAAAATGTTTCATATTGTGTGCTATTTTCTGAAATTGCACTATTTGATAACCTAATATGAATAAAAAATTTATTATTTATACTTATTATTTTACTATGTATTCCTAATTACCTTGCAATTATAAATTCTTCTCTCCAATCTTCAAATCGGCCTTCACTTAACCATGTATCGATTATATTTAAATAAACAGTAAAACTAGCTAAATATAAACTAATACAAATATTAGTTTTTTCTCGATTGTGTGAATTTTGTATTTCGAAATACAAAGATGATAATAATTTAGATGCACACTTCCAATTTGGATGAAGTATCCAATTAGATATAGATTTTTTATGAACTTCATATAAAATTTTTATATTATATAAATTTTTTTTTAAAATTGATGATAAAGACAAAAATGTAAAATTACTATCTAAAATCCAATACAAATATAAATTAATAAATATGGTAAAAATATTTATAAATATTCATTAAATTTAAAGGAAATTATTATTTATACCTTGTTTCATAAGAGTTTTTTCTATATTAATTATTTCATTTTTAAATTGTATTAAATGTTGTCTCAAAATAGCATTATATGTCTCATATGTTAAGGGTGGTTTTTTACAAAAATCATCCTGTTTTGAATATAATCTAATTCCAAATTGTTCTATATCATATATCATTGAAAAATACTTACAAAATGGTAAAAGAATACTATTAAATGCAACCTGAAATATTTTATTAATAATCTTACATAATTGCACAATTTATAAATAAGTAAATTATTATATACTCACAATAGTTAAACTAGGTATTGATATATTAGGACGAATAGAAAATTCTTTTGTTTCTTCATTTTGTTGAAATACTACCATTTGTGATGGAGCATAAAACATCCATAACAATTCTCTACATACTACATATTCACTAAGGGTTCCTAATGTATAAAAATTTCTCTCATTTGCTTTATACCTATTTAATATTAATATATTGAAAATATGATATAAGAAAAAATAATAATACAAATAAATACGTACCAAATTTCACAAAAATGAGCATCAAAAAAATTGCTTTTAACTGGATATTTTCTCCATTCTAATTCATTCCACCAACTATTTTGAACATTTAACAACAGCCAATTTTTAGAGTTAAGTTCTTCATTCAGAGCTAAAGATAATTTATTTAATTCTTTTTCAACAGATGGTATACATATTGCTTTATTTGAATCTGTAATATTTATAGGTACTTCAAAATTTGAGTGTATATCTACATTGTCTTCTATATCATTAGACCATTCCTATTAGAAATAAGATATTTAAATAAATTATAATAAACATATAAATATATTTTATAAATAATTTTTATAATTTAATCAAATATTACAAATAAAAATATTTACACTATCCGTATCACTTTTATAATCATTGAAAAAATTTTCTTGTCCCTCTTTTAAATATTCAATCCAATCAATTTCCTCTGTAATTTCACTTTCATTTTCACCTGTTATGTTAAAAGTACATTCTCCACGTGTTAATTTTAAAGTTTCTAAATCAGATTTATATGTTTCATTAGCTAATTCCAATAATAAAGTTAATAGATGCCATTGTAAATCATATTGTGGATGTTGTTCAAAATTAAAACTTAATACAAATGTATCAACAAGTTCCTCAAATTTTTTTGCTACATCATATTTTCCATGAATAGAGAATTTTTTAATTAAAGCTTTAACAGCTTCTTTTGTACTATTACTATCAACAGATAAATACCGATGGTGCTTAATATTTGTCATACAGAAACGTTCACAAATTTGAAATCCTTCTTCATTTTCCTAGATATAAATAATTTTATTTATTAAAATTTATAATTATTATTCTATTAATATTTTAATAAAAATTTTAATTTATGATTATAATTTTAGTTTAAAACAAATTAAGTAATAAATATGTATAAAATGTTCATTACCTCAAAAGATGTAATTGCTGTTATTAATTGTTTTATATCATTATGAATATCATTTAGTATTTTTGTACCCATTTTTACTTAAAATAGAAAAAAAATAGAATTAAGATAAAAAATTAATTTGACATTGAACATTTAAAAAATTTAACGAAAAAAAAAAAATAAAAATGAATAGTTTATTCTTAATAGAAAATATTTTATTTCTAACCCTCTTTAAAAAAAATACTTTTATACGTTTATTTTTTATATAATTTAAACATTACACAATTATAAATATTTTTTTTATATATAATTTTAGTTTCATAATAATAAGATTGAAATACTCGTTTTATTAAAATGACATCAATTCTATCAAATATTTCTAGAAACAAAAAGTAATTAATAACATGCGCATAACTTTCAAAACATTAAAGTCCATTTTTAAATAATAAAATTAAATTCTTTTATAATATAAAATAAATGAAAACGATATAAAGAGAAAAAATTATTTTTCTTACTTGAAATTCATTATACTGTTTATGTTATGCTGGAAATAAAATAAAAATAATCTTTTAAGAGACTAAAATTTCGTCGAAATAATAATAATTTGTAATAATATTAAGTATTTACTTAAAATTAATGTTATAAAAATAAATATATATAATGTCATATTTTTTTTAATTATAAAAAATTGCTTTTATTAAAAAAATTAAAAATAAAATATTATTTTAATAAAATATTTTTAAAAATGTAAAAAGATATATTATTTATATTTATTTTAGAATCGATGATCATCTCGAATAACAATTTATTATATTAATTTGCAATTTGGAAAAAACGAAAAAATTAACATAATGAAAATTATATTTATATTTCTAAAACTAAAATTATATCTTTTCAAATTTTAAAATTTAATATTTTTTAAAATAATATTTACAATATATGATAAGTATTTAAAAATCAAAACCATTTCTTGAGCACATAAATTTTACAAAGTATAAATAACAAAATAAGAAAAAAATGCTAAAGATATTTATTTAAAAGTAAAATAGAGTTTGAATTGAAGATTAACGCCATCTCGTGAATATTTTTAAAAAAATATCTTTAACATTCAAGAAATAAGAGACGATTAATTCTTATCTTACTACTTTATTTTTTTTATTTGATTAGTTTGTGACACTCTGGAAATTACATTGATTGCTTAATTTCGATTTTATTTGTTTTTTTTATATTTGTTCTGTTTATTTATAGTTGCTTTGTAAAATTTATTAAAATTCATTCGAGATGATTTTAATATTTGATTAAAAATCGAAAGACAGCGAGAAAAAATAAAAATAAAAAAAGCTTATGTTATATAATTTTAATAATAAAGAGAAAGAAATTTTTTTATTTTAAATTACGTTTAAGTAATTTAAGTAAGTAATAACAATTAAGAATAATAATTAATATAACTTAAATGAATAATGTAAAAATGTATGTAAAAATATGTATTATGTATATTTAAATAAATGTATAATATATTTAAAACTTTATATTTTTCTAAAATTAAGATTAAGTAATAAAAATTAAACAAGAATAAAAACAATACATATATACAAACAATATTATAATTTCGTGGTAGAATTTATTTAATAAAAACATAAACTAAGATTACAATTAGTTAAATTTAGATAAGATAATATTTTATATTCATATACAATAAACATATTTTATATATTATAATCTTTTACATAGAGAAGAATATAAAATTTATTTCTATATAATCATGATGGAAGACCTGTATAACTCAGTCAAACAATGAAATCTTACATAAACATAAAAATAATAATGCATGGTCTAAATATGTTTAAATTTATAATTGCTTTTTTTTATTTTGGTCCCATATTAGGGAGAACCAAAAATATTTTATGGAATGCATAATGATATGTTATATATTACCAGTAATTATTTTAAATTTATAATATTCTCATAAAAAAGTTTTTGTTTAAATACATATTGTATATATGTTAATTTTTATTATAAATTTTATCTATTATCAATTATTACTTTAAAAATGTACAAATAATTTTTTATTTTTATATAATAAAAATTAAACTTTTAAATTTAATTTTATTTGAAATAAATTATATATGGTTCTGATGGAATGAATAATAAATTAAATTTTGTAAACTTGGCTTCAATGGAAGAATTATTGTTTAAACACTCATAACTAACATATTTAAACTTCCTAAGAAGTTTATTTCAATACAAAAGAAATTTATAACATGATAAAAATAATGATAATGATTATCAGTATACATTAATACATACATAGTATATTAACTGATAATAATGTTATATAAAAATAAATATCGAATTACTTTATTAATATATGTATATGAAAGTGCGTTTGTTTCAGAGAAACACTAAATTTTATAATTACAGTTCGTCCTTTTCATCAAGATCTATATCACTAAGATCGATTTCTTCTTCTTGTGGAAGTTCAGCATCTTTACCATCCCACGATTTAGTTTCAAGAATTGTTGGTAATTGAGCTCCTTTTAAAGGAGCTGTACCTCCTCGTCCATAACTTAAATCTCGTAAAAATTCATTTATACCATCATATGAAAAACTACCCTTTAATAAAGAATATTTCATTTTCTTTATATTTACAGCTGCTAATGCTGGATAACCAAAACCTCCAATTTCTAATGCTTCCTCGATATGAGGTTGAGCACCAGCTTCAGTCCAAACCCAACTACAAAAAAATATATATATTGTTTTTAAAATTCTATTTTCATTAAATGATAAATAAGAATGATAACATACCCCCACATTTTTTGTTTATATTTTTCTCCAAGTTCATTTAATATTTTTAAATAGCCATTTCTGCATTCTGATTGACAATCTAAAATATGCGGTAAAACGGATATAACACATAACGGTTTATTTTCACATACTTCTCTTAAACCCTTTTCATTTATAATTTGAAGTACTTCTGGTGCTGGAACATTTTCTGCCAATTTCTCTAATGCCCAATTTACTATATCACTACTTGTGCGACCACCATCATATTCTTGCACAAAATCAGTAGATTTTTTACCAGGTGCAAAATATTTAATAGTAGGATATCCTTTTATTTCATATTGACTAGCCTAACATAACATTAAGATTTGATTGAAAATCAATATTATATACATAATTTTAAATAATATTTTTAAAATGAAAATTACTTACTTTTATTCTATTTGCAGTAGCATCAATTGCTCCTAATTTAACTTTACCTTTAAGCTCTGATGCTGCAGATGCCCAAATAGGAGCTAAATTTTTACAATGACCACACCATGGTGCATAAAACTCAATTAACCACATATCATCTGAATTCATTACTATATTATCAAAATTATCATCTGTTAATTCAATTACATCTTTAGAATCTTTAGACTGTAATAACAATAAAAAATTTTCAATTATTAATTAATAATTGAAATTTCTTAAATTTTTTAATTTATTTATTTATAATTTTATTTATAATTTATTTTTTCTTTTATTTATTTTTATTTTTTGTGTGATTATATTTACCTTAAAATCTCCAGTACTTCTTTTTCCTCCTAAAATTCTACGTGCTTTTTGACCAGCTCCATTTAAAGCAGCATCAACAATTCCTGCTGCAGTTCTTGGTCCATTATAATCTTCTGGTTTATTATCAATACCGAAGATTTTAATCGTAGGAAAACCTTGTATTCCATATTTTGCTCCAAGAGATTTATGTTCATCTGCATTTATTGCACCAACTTTTACAATACCCTATAAAAATTTATATTACAAGTTTCTAATAGAACAAAAAAATAAATTATTTTTAAATAAAGTAAAATATTTTTATATATATTTAATACAAAAATTACTTTTAGTGCAGTTGCAGCTTTGTTATATTCAGGTGTCAACATTTGACAATGTCCACACCATGGTGCAAAAAATTCCACAACCCATATATTATCACTATTTAATACCAAATTGTCAAAATTGTTTGGTTTTAGATTTACGACATCTGAATTGGAGTACAAACAATGAGCTCCAGAAATTAACAGCAAAATACCTAAATAAAACAAATATAGCAATATTAAATTATTCTCAACTAATATAAAATCAAATATTAAAAATCAAATAAAAATAAAAATAAATATTAATTAAAAAGATAAAAATGTATATATTATAACGATATATATTTACCGGTAAGATTTAATACTTTAATAAATGAGATATATATTATATATATATTGGTTTTTAAAACTTACCTAAAAATTCTTGCATTTTACTTAGCAAAATAAGACAATGAGTTTACAATTTCTTTCAAGAAATCATTCACAGAAAAATCTTTCAAATATAAGAATAAAACGAATACAACTTTTCCTTGCAAAATTCAATCGTCCTATCTGTTTCTCCACTCTTTATAACCAAATATAATTTTTCGTGGATTGTTCTGATTGGTCATTCATAATCAACAAACATTCGCTACAATGGAATCATCCATTTCAATGAGAATAGCCAAAATTAGACTATTTAATTTATAAATTAAAATTATTACATTTCATTTTCTTTATAAAAAAAAAATATTATTATAAACTTGATAAAAAATGATACAAATAGATGATATAAGTATTTCTATATAATATATAGAATGAATTATACTTATTAAATATGATTGATTTTTGTGCACTAACAATTATTTAATAAAGTTCTATTATTTAAACCGATATATTATAATTATTTTATATATAATATGTTTATAAAATGATAAAGTTGATTAGAATAAAATAAGATAATAATATATAAGATAATAAAATAATATTGATATTCAATAGTATTTATAATACTATTTAATATTTGATTATGAAATTTCGATTTAATATATACAAAATTTATATTATTAATTTTCATTCTCAAATATTTTATTACATATTTATTCTATATTAAAAAGTTAATACTTATCCATTTTAGATTAAAAATAAATTATTTAAAATTGAAAGCTATTATAATTCATTATCTTCTAATAAAAATATAATTTATTTTAGGTACAAAGTATAGTGAGAATAAATTTGGTAACAAATTCATATTTCTATATATAATTAATCAAGTTTATTTATAAGAAATTATTAGTTTGAGATTTCTTCGATTTTTTGCTTACAAAATTTTTGGTTCAATATGTATATTTTTTATTTTTAAATCATAAAAAAATACAATAAAATAATCATAATTTAATATAATAATGTGAATAATATACTATTAATATTTTCTATGTTTATATTAAAATAAATATTAAAATGTGATAACATAAAAATAATCAAAATTACTAAACTTAACAAAAAATCAGTAAATATTAAAATTTGTTCTTTTTCTAATATAAAATGATCGAATATATATTTTTTTATATTAATAAAATCATCATCACAAAGATCTTAACTTTTAAATCCTATTTTCAAAAAACAAAACAATATCATTTAATCAACTTTATAAATAAATTTATATAAAATAATCTTATCATTAACAATATAGATAATCATAAGTATATTTTAGCTTATGATATAAATGAAGTATATTAAAAATATAATCATCTAAATAAATTATAAAAATAAAAAATCGAATCCATATGAACAGATTTTAGATAGGATCAGCTTCATCTAATGCAAACTTTAATTGCTTATAACTTAAATAAATTTTAATCGAAATTTTTATATATTTTTGTTTTTTAAAATCGATATACTAGACCTAAAGGTATCTCATACATTATATATTAATACTTTATATATAAATTATATCATATTTTTATAAAAAACTAAAATAAGAAATTAATATTTATAAATTTTATAAAATTTAAGTTTAGAGATTTATGCTAGTATATGCAATATAATTAATTACTATGAATATGAAATCGATTTGTGCTGCAATATATTATTGCGCAATATATATTAATATATATATTATTATAGTATTTTGTTGTATCATTATTTCTTATCTAATGAAATATATATAACAAACAAAAATTTTATAAAATCATAAAAATTAGATTATATCTATATCGAATACAACTATACAAGATTTATTTCTACCATAGTTTATAGACTGAGACTCTATAAGATATTAATAAAATAAATTTCTATATATATTTTTAGTTACTTAATACTATTAAGTAACTTAATTTAATTATATAAAATTATTAAAAGATTGAAATTTTAATATATTCAAAAATGTCGCAAAATCAATATAAAAATGTTACACATTGTATTTTTGATATGGATGGGTTATTGCTTAGTAAGTGATTTGTATTATCTTAACTTATATTATATTTATATCCAATAAATTAATATATACAGAGAAGGATTAATTAATAATTAAAATTTGTATTTAATATAATAATTAAAAATAAATATTTTATTTTACGAAGTCTATATTCTTGTAAGTTGGACAAAATCTAATCTAATCTGTAAATAAGTAAATATTCATTCATAAGAATAAAGTAATTTTGTTTTGTCTATGTATATATAGAAATGAATAAAATCTCAATGGCAATTATTAAGAAATATGAAGAATATAGATTAAAGTACATCATGCATCTTTATGGACAGATACTACTGTCAATGAAAAGGTTAAAATAACACTCATCATGCGTGAGTTGGGAAATTGTATTAGAATTTTATATATATATATATATTTTTGAACATATATATAAATATTCTTATTAAAAATTATTCATTTATAAGTATAAAATTATTTTCAACAATTTTCATAAATTAATATTTATAAATCAATTTAAATCGATAATTCATAAATAAATTTTATATTGCACATTAATTATATTAAAATCTTAATAGATACAGAATTACTTTACACTGAAGCCTTTAACCGTATTATAAATCTCTATGGAAAAGAATTTACATGGGAACATAAAGCAAAAATTATGGGTTTTAAATCTAAGGAAGTTGGACAAGCTTTGATTGAAATGTTTTCTTTACCAATAACAATAGAAGAATTTGAAAATAAGATAACTAAAATATATCAGGAATTATTCCCCTCTGCAAATCTTATGCCAGGTAATTTATAAAATTATATTATATTATATAATTATATATTAGAAATTATTAAAAATAATAAAACTTTAAGAATTTATAGTATATATTAAAAGAAGTAATATTTAATTAATAAAACATTTAATTTAAATTGAATTTAAAATTACTAGATTTAATTATTTATATTAAATATAAATAAGAAAACATATCTAAAAGTGATTAAAATCTTAAAATTAATCTTAAAAAAATTTAAGCAAAAAGATATTATGATAAAAGATTATTAGTAATATTAATAAA